AACAACAACAACAACAACAACAACCACTTAAAGTGTATAATTTAATGACATTATATTTACAACATAGTTGTGTAAGTATCACCAGTATTTATTCCCAAAATTTTTATCAGCTAAGACAGAATCTCTGTATTAATGCAACAATAGCTCTCTGTTTCTTCTTTCCACTATCTCCTAGAAGGATAGACCCTCTCTCTGCTTTTGTCTGCTCCAGGTAATTCATCTAAATAGGACCATGACAATGTTTATAATTTTGTGTCAGACTTATTTAACTTATAATAATATTTTCAGTGTTTATTCCTATCAAAGCATTTGTCAAAGTTTCCTTTTGTTTACAGCTGAATAATGTTCCATTGTATTAGTACACCACATTTTGTCTGTCCACTAATTTGCTGATAGACATTTTGGTGGTTTCCTCCTCTTAGCTATTGGTAGTAACACTGCAGCAAAGACTACTGCACAACTCTTTCTTCGAGTTATTCTTTAAAATCTTTTGAGTGTATGACTAGGAGAAAATTATTGATTTATGTGGTTAATTATTTGAGTAATTTCCTATCACTTTGCTATAAGTGATTTCACTGTTTTATATTCTTATCAGTAATGAATGAAGATTACAGTTTCTTCAAGTTAACCAATACTTATTATTTTGAAAGCAGAAGTAGTATCTACTTTTTAAACAACATGCCTCTGGAAACACTATGAACTTTGAGAAATGATGACAGTTACAGAGAGTCTTCTGGTACTTAGTTCATAGGATTGCTATGAGTCATACATGACTTGATGACAATTAACAACAACAACGTTATTTTATAGCTTTAATAATAACCATTCAAGTAGGTGAGAAGTTGTATCTCATTATGGTTTTTATGTGTATTTCACTAATGACTAATGACATTAAAAGTCTTTTTATATGCTTATTGACATTAGTCTATCTTTTTAAGAGATGGTCACTCAAGTCTTTTGTTTATTTTTAAAATTGCATTCATTATTTGTCTTTTGGTTTTTATAGGAGTTCTTTAGATTACATGAGTATTCAATCTTCATGAGGTTCATGACCCTGAACTATTGTCTCCCATCTGTAGGACTTCTTTCCAGTTTCTTAATAATTTCTTAAATACATGAAGGTTTTTATGTTTTATTACATTCAAATCTTTTCTATATCAGATGATATCATTGTGTACCATCTCCTTTCTTTTCATGAGTATGACATATCACATGGATTGATTAGACTATGTTGAACCACTTTGGCATTTCTGGATTAAATCTTGTTTGGTCACTATATATAATACTTTTATTATGCCATTTAGTTTGGTGTAGTACTATTTTGTTGATATTTTTTGCTCCTATATTCATTAGATAAATGAGTCTGTAGTTTGTTTGTGGTGTCATCAACTGGCCTCAGGAATATTTTTCATCTTACTATTTTTTATTAGGAACCAAATTATAGTTGATTGTCTAGAGGGTTTTCTGAGGCTGTAAATTGTATGGGAGGAGATTGCTTGCTTTTCTTTCTGTGGAGCTGCTACAAGATTTGAACTGGCCAAAAAGTGCAGTCTTGGAGATCCAAGATGGCGGCAGAGGCAGAGACAGTGTGGTGAGCTGCGGGAGTAGCAAACCACTTAAAGCAGGGCCATTATGGCCTTCCACAGACTTCGGCTTATTGATAATTGAACACTTAAACAGTTGATGACTGGCCCTCAGTGAAGATTGAAGCTCAACAACAGGAATTCAAGTACTCCCAAGGAGAAATGGGTGAGTCTCGTGGCTCCCATCCCCCACCCCCCACAGAGCCCATGCTGCACCAAACAGCTGCTGCAGCTCCATGAGGCTTCCACAGCCTGAACAAACGGATTCCCTCACCCAGGGTGGATGCTGGCCACTGGCCCTCCTCAAGACTGGTACAGTGAAGCCACCACACTGCCACAATGTGGTCTTGTACTGGAGAGAATTCTTGGAGCCAGGATGGTGGCTGTGGGGGAAGCAGGTGCCTCTGGCCTCCCGCACAAGAAGGGCCGCACACCCGCCGAGCTCCCATGTGGAGGGGTGGGGG